GTAGTAGGTGAAAATATGTGTAAACRGGTTTGTTCCGGTTAGTTGTAAATTGGTTATGCTCATGTGCTAAACCAAGGCTATATAAACGTTGTATTGTTCTTGTTGATTGAATAACATAAACAAATCTTATCTTCTTTTGCTTAGATTCATATACTCTAATAAAGGAACTACCGAATCTCTACCGATATATGTATGTCGGTTGAAAGTTTCCTCAAGATCATCGAGGAATTCACAACACTTTTTTGGGCATCTCGTTCCGAGATGAGATAGTCTAAAACTTTGCACACTGTGGTTCCAAATCTCGTTTGGACTCCAATGTGTTCAATCCGAAAATTCGATGTTGGTAGATGTATTTTCTTTTATAGTAAATTAGTAATGTAGTCTCCTCTCCTTTAGAATAAAGTCAGAAACTACATCAAACAAACAAAACTTGAGCAAAACACGGGAAAATAAACACTACATTTTTGGCAATTTGAAAGTGTACTTTATAATATTGGGTATTTACTAAAAAATCGAAAGTATTGGATCTAAACGAGAATTATATAAAATAGCGGGGTTTTATCGAGTTTTGAAGTTTTGATACCCCTAATATACAAAGCAAATAACTAAAAACGCGTAGGGTTTTCATTCTGCACTTTCTTTCGATCGCGTTGACGTTTTCATTGATTTGAAGGAGCCATCATGTCGTCGTCGGAGCCAGAGATTCTACCGCCGTCATCCACCGCCACACCGGAGGAATCTGGAGAGAAGATAAGCAAGAAAGCGGCAAAGAAAGAAGCCGCGAAACTGGAGAAGTTACGCCGCCGTCAAGAACAAGAAGAAGCCGCGAAGAAGACATCTTCTCTTTCACTAGAGGACGAGGAACATTCGAAGAACTACGGCGATGTAACTTTCAACGAATTGCAATCTACGACGGATCCAGAAGCCGGAAAGTGGAGACAAGCCATCGAAGGAAAAAAGTGGATCGATGTGTGCGATTTGGTTGAAGCGATGGCTGATTCAGAGGTCTTAATCAGAGGTAGAGTTCACACGAATCGCCCAGTTTCTAGCAAATTAGGGTTTGTGATCTTGAGGGAAAGTGGATTCACCGTCCAGTGCGTTGCTAATCAATCGGAAGAGAACAAAGTGAGCGGTAATATGATCAAATTTCTCAAGCAGCTTAGTCGTGAATCCTTTGTCGATGTTATCGGGATCGTGACTGTCCCTAAGGAGCCTCTTACCGGAACTACGCAGCAGGTTTAGTTTCGTTCTCTTTCTCCTCCCTAATTTGTGACATCAAAGAGATTACATCGTTTGTGTGTTGATTGATTTCGTGATTGCAGGTTGAGATTCAAGTGAGGAAAGTGTATTGTGTCAACAAAGCTTTGCCAACATTACCACTTAGTGTGGAAGATGCTGCCAGAAGCGAAGTAGATATCGAAAAGTCTCTTCAGGTAGCTTAAAGTGTTAAGATATGGAATTGTGCTTTGAGATTCTGATAGATTGTAGATTGTGTTCTCTGATGTTTCGATGAATGTTCCCATGATTGTTTTGCAGGCTGGAAAGCCAGCTGTTCGTGTTAATCAGGATACGCGTTTGAATAATAGGGTGCTTGACATCAGAACACCGGCGAATCAATCCATTTTCCGCATTCAGTGCCAAGTCGAAAATGTAAGCTCTTGTATCTTTAAAGGAGTTGATATGCATTTGCTAGAATATTAGAGTTATGCATCAAGTACTGTCCTAATAGTAAGTTTGATTTTTCCATGATTTGGTTTGCTTTCTTCTAAGTTGATTTGCTGAACTAGCTAAGAATTGTGTATAGGCATTCAGAGAGTACTTACTATCAAAGGGGTTCGTTGGAATTCACACACCGAAATTGATGGCTGGAAGTAGTGAAGGAGGTTCTGCTGTATTTAGGCTGGATTACAAAGGGCAACCTGCTTGTCTAGCTCAGTCTCCTCAACTTCATAAGCAAATGGCAATATGTGGTGATTTGCAACGTGTTTTTGAGGTAGGTCCTGTTTTCAGGGCAGAAGACTCGTTCACTCATAGACACCTGTGTGAATTCGTTGGTCTTGATGTGGAAATGGAGATTCGAAAACACTATTCCGAGGTAATTATCATGCTGTTAAAAATGATTAGTTCTTCTCAAGTACATTTATTCTGCCACTGGTGCTGATATTTTTTTGTTTGTGCAGATCATGGACCTTGTGGACGAGTTATTTGTGTTTATATTCACTAGTCTGAATGAGAAGTGCAAAAAGGAGCTGGAAGCTGTCGGAAAGCAGTATCCATTTGAACCTTTGAAGGTAATCACCGAGTATGAGCAAGGAATATTGTGAATTGAGTCTTTTTGTAGCTTATTGGATTCTGATGATTGGAAGTACACTGCAGTTTCTTCCAAAAACACTGCGGCTAACCTTTGCAGAAGGTATTCAAATGCTCAAGGTACGATTCGTCGTTTTTGCATTTGACTTGATGAGTTTTTTTTAATGGACTTGTCAATACTAATTACTCATCTGGATTTTTTGGCAGGAAGCTGGTGTGGAGGTTGATCCTCTTGGAGATCTAAACACAGAATCTGAGAGAAAGCTTGGCCAGCTAGTTCTGGAAAAGTAATCGACCACTTTTACCTACTGCTGTTTGATATTTCCATCCTCAAAATGTTTCAGTTCTGTAAGTTGTTCTAACACTGTCGTGCTCTCGATTTCGATAATTGAAACAGGTACAACACGGAGTTCTACATACTGCATCGTTATCCTTCGGCAGTTAGGCCATTCTACACGATGCCTTGTGCGGATGATGCTCGTTACAGCAACTCATTCGATGTCTTCATCAGAGGTACATCTTTGGGCTGTTGTTTTTACCTTGTGTGTTGTCTCACGACTTGTGTTACTACATATCTGATACTGAGATTTTGGATTGTTCTGTCCTAGGTGAGGAGATCATTTCAGGAGCTCAACGTGTTCATATCCCAGAAGTCTTGGAGAAACGTGCAGCAGAATGCGGCATTGATGTCAAGACAATATCCACATACATCGATTCATTCAGGTACCTGTACGAACTTCGGTTCCTTACTAATTGGTTGTCTTGAGTTGTTTTCTAAGCAACTATGGCTACAAATAATGTTAACAGGTACGGTGCGCCTCCTCACGGTGGATTAGGAGTGGGGCTGGAGCGAGTGGTGATGCTCTTCTGTGCCCTGAACAACATCCGCAAAACATCACTCTTCCCTCGTGACCCTCAAAGGCTTGCACCCTAGTGTGTGACTAACCGTCAGATTCTCGCAGAAATTTTCTCATTAAGCTTTTTATGAGTTAAGGGATTTTTATTGTTGTTGTCTCATTCTCGTCCTCTATTGAAATATTGGTTTACTTGTCTGAAGCATATGTTACATTCACATTGTCGAGTAAACTAAAGCCTTTCTTACCAAGTAAAGATTGCGTCCAATCAAGTAGTACCATTAGTGAATCAGTATCTAGGCGAAACAGAAGTATCGAACTGGTTCTAATTGTTAAGTGGTCGATTCGATTAAGAATTTGATAACAGCCCAAATCATGAACCTAACAAGAACTTAGAGAAAACGTAAATCAATTTGGAGAGAGCGATAGTTCTCTCAATTAGAACAAAGCAGACTAAACCCGATGAAATAGATGCTACTCTTACTTGAAGAAGACGAAGGCGAGAGACAAGACAAGAACAGAGACTGTTTTGGGCCATGGAAACCGAGTTAACTTGCTAGTATCGTTGATCTCTAGGAAATGCATTTTGGCTGATACAGAAAATGGATCCACCTCTTAGCTTTTGTTTCACAGCAACCAGAGGAGACGATTTATTGCTACATCAGTTACTCAAACGATGGTCAAACCGCGCTAACAAACTATTGTTTTGGATTCCCTAACAACACTCATATCTAACCCAAAACTATTGTAACCTCGCTTTTATATCTTTATTTTGCTAAGGTTGCTTTAATCTTTTTTTTTTTTTAATGGTCTAGACTTTTATTAAGATAGAAACAATCCACAAGTAAACCGAAACAGAGGATTGCAACAAAACACATAGAAAGCTTGTAAAAACAATCGAAACAATCCACAAGTAAACCGAAACAGAGGATTGCAATAAAACACATAGAAAGCTTGTAAAAACAAAGCACCACACCCAATGACAAGGAAACAAAAGATGCTAACAACAAGCTTCACTTGCAATTAAATTATGTAACCATCCCAGACCTTTCCGAGCTAGATGCGAGTTAAACCTTCCATCTTGCGTCACACTTTTGGAAATCTCTATGACTTGAATTTGCCGCAATCGTCTCCAAGTCGAAAGAACAACTATGAAACTTGAGACACAAGTTGCTTTAGTCCAGAAATTGCTTTTGTAATACCCAAATATTTTCATTTTATATGATATTTACATTACTAGCGGAAAAATAAAACTTCCAACACGTCTATGTGTTTTGTTTGTATATACATACTAGTATGTTGGTCCGGACAGATCGAAGTTACTCATTACCCTGATAAAACAAATCCAAACCTTATTTCCTACTCAACCTGTAAGTTACTTCGAATCGCCCCCTTACAAGACCTTGGTTTTCAACATCTCCATACCACCAAACCCTTTTCTCAACCTGGGTTTCTAATTTCCGGGTATACCTACACAGATTACCAAAATGCTTGGTTTCGATTCTTATACCTATGCCCTTACGATCACTCCTGGTTTTTAACCTTTGATCAAAAATTCGATACYTATATACCGGGCTGGTTTTATGAATGGTGGCACTGGTTCGGACCGTACGATCAAATCTATCCAACCGACCTACTCAAAACAGTTTATCCTTATTTCCTTAAATACATTCCKAAGAAAACCCTTGGCCCCTACCAAAAAATCTTATTCCACGCCTACATGGGTCTCCCATGGATTTGTTCCTGGCATTTTAACCTCATCCAAGCCTTATCCGATATGCCATACTCCTTAATCAAGGAATACCGAGTAAAATGGTGGAATAAATATAATCTCGACCGTTGCTCTTTAATCAACATTACCAAATTCTTTGGCAACGCTCGCCAAGATCAACTTCTTGTCAAAAGTATCTCCAAATCTATTCCCTTGTTGACTCCTAGTCAACTCACCCAAATACCACCAATCACCATACCTTCACAAACACCTAGCCCAACCAAATCCACCAGCTCCACCTCCTCCCAAAAAAACAAAAAAAAAGGCCAAACTGAAAAAGGCTCTTCAAACCCTAAGTCAAGAACTCCTCTTCTCTTCCGACGATGAAGATAGTATTAACCAAGACGATCAACAGGAAGATCCCAACGCCCCTTTTGGCGGCRCCTTAGCTCAAGACCCTTTTGACGATATGAAACAAAAAAAAYAAAATTCCCCAGGTTTTGTTGCCTCACTAATAAGGATGATGTTCCAGGCCGCAAGTCCTCGAAGTTAGGCCGTAAGTCTGTTGGCAAGTCACCTTTTTGCCTCAACTAATCCCGGGAATCTCCACATCTCTGTATATTAAAAAAAAAATCCAATAATATTCTATATAGTAGTAAAATTTTCATTTTTCAATAATGTATATTCTTGTAGACTCTGTAAATTATTTTAAAAACTTATTATATTATGAATAGCGGATAAGCCGGTTAAGTTAAAATAAAATACAGAGTATATCTGAACAAAAGGTACTCTAAAATAATATATTAACATACTCAAACAGACATTACAGGCGGGCCCCACTTTCTAGAAGATAATGACACCCGACAGGCGGGACCCACCTCAAGACCCACTTCAGACRGTCGGCAACGTCGYCACCAATTAG